AACAGAATGAAAACACAATATTTCTGTCCTGCAGGGGGAAGTTTTGTGTTTTCATTCTGTTGATGATGGGGTTTTTTTCTTCTCTTTGGCTGGTGTGTAGATGAAGCTTTCTTTGATTCTGACAATAACACAGAAAAGAGCTGTCTACTATTGCAGTTCACCATGGACTGTCTGCACAAGATCTTCCTGTTTGACACCCAGAAGTTTCTGAGTAAAGAAAGAGCAGAAACCTTGATGCAGCCTCTGGTTGATCAGGTATTGACAAATCCATAAAAAAAATTCATAGCTGACTTTTTTTCCCATAGTTTAAAAAAAAAATAAAATTTGTGTGTCAGTCCTCCCTCTTAACAAAAAGGGGGGATTAGTTCATTGGCTTTGGGCCAAAGACAGTATTGACAGTATTGATTTCTTTGCCTAAGGTTCTGAATTACTGATATTTTTTTTTATCCTTTTTTAAAATGTCTTCATTCTATAAGGTTCATGCATGTTATTGCTCTTGCAATAACCAGTGCATTCCCACTGATAAGCTTTGACTTAATTCTTGAGTACCTGAAAGCCAAAGCTAGAAGTGTTTTTGGCTGAATCCGTTTTACTTCCACAGCTAGAAAATGTGCTTGGAGGAGATGAGAAGTTCCAGGAAAGAGTGACAGCACACCTGATACCCTGCATAGCTCAGTTTTCAGTGGCAGTGGCAGATGATTCTCTTTGGAAACCACTGAACTACCAGATCCTGCTGAAGACAAGGCACAATTCTCCTAAGGTTGGGAGCTATAAGAATTTGAACTGGTTTTCTTTGTCATGCTAGAAGATGGGAACAGTGTCCCCAAAATCAGAAGTGAATTAACCAAGTCATTGCTGAAATAGTACCCTAAATTAAAATACTGGTGCTGTACCACAGTACTCCCGAGTTGTAGAGATGGGTGCAGCAAGCTCTTCTGCTCTCACTCTAAGCAGTCAGTGTTCCATGTCTTTCATACTGTGGGGTTTGGGCTTTTTGAAGATTTGATATCTGTTGGACTAAGAGATAATTGTTTGTGTATGAAGACAGGGCCACTTTAGAGGGGTAACTGGAAGACAGTTACCAGCTTTCAGACCTGTTTAATATTTAGTTTTATCAAGACTCCTCTATTGACAGGTTATAGATACTAAGGGAGTGTACTTGGTTTTTTGTAGTGCTTAGAGTGAATGTGACAGGAAGTCTATAATATCAAATAACTTTCACCAACATTATCTGCTTCTTGCAAATTATTTTTATTTGCCATTATGTTAACCCAGATGTTAGTATTTAAATTAGCTTAAAACTAGTTCCCTTCAGTAATGAAAGCTTGTAACCTTATAATGAATGGAAAGAAGGCAGGGGTGGGAGAAAACAAAGAAGTATACTATAACATTTGTTGCCTTATATAATTGTTTTGGTTTAGGTCCGGTTTGCTGCCCTGCTTGCTTTGATAGAAGTTGCACAAAAACTGAAGGAGAACTACCTGGTCCTGCTACCAGAATCTATTCCATTCTTAGCTGAGCTTATGGAAGGTAATGTTCTAAACTGGCATTAGTGAAGGGTGACTTATTTCAAAGATTCAGACAGGCTCATTGTTATAATTGCTATAAAACTGCATATGGTAGCTTATACTGTGCAAAATGCAAACTAAAATGGATTATGTCAAACACATTCATGAAATTCAGTTAAATTACAGTGGTTTCTTCAGTGTTGTAGCCTGTGCACATCTCCCCACATGCAAGTTTTAGATCAGCGTTAGTACAAAGAGTTTGCCTAGTTCAGTGACAAAATATTTCTGAATAATAGTTTCATATATGGTGTTTGATGAGTGATGAAGCCTTCCTTGGGTAGCCTTGTAATTACTATTCTACTTAATTCCTGCTTAATTTCTTTTTCTAGATGAATGTGAAGAAGTTGAACAGCAGTGTCAGAAGACAATTCAACAACTGGAAGTAATTTTGGGAGAACCACTACAAAGCTACTTCTAAGTTTATGCCCTTCGTTTTGAAATTTTGTCTGAATTGTGTTAGCTTTACACATTAAGGTGTTAAAGGCAAACTGTCATAACAATTTTTATCAGAAACAAGATTTTAACTTTTTATTAAAATATTTTAAGAATCTGGCTTTATCATTTCTGGATGGACTGGAGACTTTTCTTATGACTTATCCTTAACTGCTCTTTTCTTAACAGTGAGAAAGTGGAACAGGCTATAAACAAATCCTGAGTGTCAACATATGAGACTTACTGAATTCCTCTGTGCTTGGGGTATACAGTTACTGTTCCAGTGGAGGGGCTGTCATGCTCCAAGCATGGTCCTCACTGGACCAGTGCATTGCAATCCTGAGAATCTGTTTTTTTCTGTCATCTGTAGGGAAAGTAAAAAGTATGCCCACTGAAGATACTGAAAAAGTTGCGAGAAGCTATGATTCATGTAGGAACTTAATCTTTTTTACAGTCTTTAAAGACTGTTATTGATTAGCTGAAGTTCAAGAATAAATTGCTTGCTATCATAATGAATTTACCCAAAAAAATTACTGCTTGTTTTGCACCATGAGGTGCTGGTTCATTACACTGGTACTAAGAAAGGCACTCAGACTCTGTAAAAAAGGTTTTAAAATGAAACAGAGTAGAACTGACAGTATACAGAGGACAGTCTTACATCCCATTGGTTCTGGGAACAAGCCTCTGTCCAGGGTACAGCATGCCATGTAGATCCCACATGTGGAAAGATTACCACATCAAGCTTTTCTAACGGGATTTTCTTAATACTGTTAATTGTGTCTGCTGTCAAACAAAAAGGATGTTCCCATGAGAACAGCTGCTGAACTCTTAGCTTAAGGCAAGGACACACAAGTGGTTACTGCCATGAGGAACTTCCTACCAGCTCCTCTGTTTCAATGAGTTTATCCTGCAGCCCAGGCATACATGCAGCATAGCACTGTGCTGAAGGCCACCCCAGCACAGCACAGCCCCAGTGCCTGCTCAGGTTAACGGCTCTGTGGATCACTAATTCCTTGATGTGGAAATGGTTCTCCAGTCAGGCTCACTTTGCCAATTTAACACCATTACAAAACAAAACAAGATTATAGACCAAAAAGGGATCATAGCTACTTAACTACACCTGGAGAAAAGCAGAGTTTGCATATGTTTTTATTGATACTTTTTATACATTAAATCTGCTCATTTAAAGTCTTTTAGTGTACATCTTATTCTTGGAATTGTTTCAGTATTAGCAGTCTTAAGATACACAGGGACATCCTTCAGGCACATATTGACAACCGATAATAACTTATTTTTAAAAGGAATATAAAAAGGCTGACATTGGTATGGAAAACTGAATAGGAACCGTTTATTTCACATTGATAATACTTGAATACAAGACTGAAAAAGGATTCATTCTCTAGTCCACTGCTGAGTAGTTGAGTGCCATCTCAGCTGAAACCCTATTTGGACTACCTGGATTCAGACATATTTTAAAAATTAAACCCACAAACATCTATTTTAAACCCTAAGGATTCTTAACCCGGTTAGGAGCTACTTCAGATCTTCCAAAAGAAAGATCAAGCTTTCAAAAGTTCATGTAATTGAAACCAGCTAAATCACTTTCCCATTGTTTCACTTTTAAAGGTTATAGGTACTAACATAAATTAAGACATAGAAAATTATAATCCATACTTCTATCTTAAATAAATTATAAAATCCCTTTTGAGGTGGGTAACTGTATCTTTGGATCCTATTTCAGTCTCATTTCTACTTCACAATATTGAATGTATGGTGTCAAGGAATGCCAAATGGTAATTATTGTTAAAGTATGATGCAGCATTTTCATATTGCTAGGTTCAGTTATACAGGAGATTTATCTGAGCAAACACTAACTTAGCTTGCCAGGAAACTGTAAACTAGAGAAGGATTAAATCTGCAGTTAGCATTTCTGGTACTTGCCTAACTCAGAGAGGCAAATGCAAAAGCCTAGATAGATTAAAGGCAGGCTCAGCATGAGTCAGCACCTGTTTGTACTTGACAAGGAGGCACTGTCATTAGAAGAGGTTAAATTCTTTTAGTAGTGATTGAAAAGAACTACCAGCTCTTCACATCCAACAAGTGAACATCTCCTGTGACTTCCACAATGTTGATCTTCTCAAGTTGTTTAAAACGATGCTTGTACTGCAGAGTGTGAACACCATTAACAGCAACTTTAAACTGGTAGGCATCACAGAAAATAATCAGCTGGAAAGCAAGAAGAGAAACAGTTAAGACTTAAGCTCAGATAAGATGTGGAAAACAATCTGATGACCTAACATAGACTTTGGGCAAGACTGTTTCTGATACAGAGAATGTTTCATGCAAAAGCAACATTTAAAAAAAAATGGGGCATCAATAAAATTCACAGAATCATGGAATAACTTAAATTGCAAGAGACCCATAAGGATCAAGTCCAACTCAATTTAATTTAAATTTGCTCTTAGCACAGGTTGAATTTTTGTAACTACTTAAAAAGAAAACTTACTAAATAAAGACAAATCTCTGCTCTCTAGGGTCCCATTTAATCCTAAGTATTTTCAAGACATGAAATGCAGGAATAGCAATTTTATTTAAATATGTATTAGTAATAGGACATTCAAGCACCAATGTTAATTTGTTTGGCAGATTTTTCAGTTTTATGGTCTTTCAGTTAATCTTACCTCAAAGTACATCCCTGGAACGAAAGGGAAGTTAGCAACTTCCTTTTCTTCTTCGCCCCAGCTGTCATGAAGGTAGGAGTTTCTTACAAAAACTTTACTTTTCATTCGAGGATTCAGATGTAAAGCAATGTCCTTTGAGTCACTTGGTCTCAGATTTATTGCAAAGCTGGAAGATATTTTTTTGAAGTTTACTGCACCAAGGGTTTACAGACATGACAGCAGAGTCAATGCCATTTACCAAGTCCTTAACCAATACTCAGGCTGTTTGGGAGCCAGGGCTGTGATTCACCTGAAGAGCCAAGCTGGGCAGCCAGCCAGCAGGCACTGTCTCCTCTGCACAGAAACCTTTGCTGGAGGCAGCAAATGTAGGACATGACCCTGCTAGATCTACTTCATCACTCAGCTTTCTGTACATGTCCCAGCAAGAAGCTCTTGAGCTGAGAGCTGCTCCCCTACTGCACTAGGAAGCAGCATTCTCACAGGAACATACAGGAGCTGCCTGCTCCCCCACCTCTTTCACTAAGCCAGTGGAGATTGGGAGGCTTTGTTTTACCCAAAGACATCAGATCCTTTCTGCCAACAAACTGGTTGGACCCCAAGAAAAAGTTCAAAGATTCTCTCCATACATTTAAGACTGCTGAGAGGCCATGGATACAAAATGTTATTTTGCAGGCAGCAAAGCTCTGCCCAGGCTGAGTGAATACTCTGCCATCTCAGACCTGCCCACCAAACAGGGCTCCTAAAGGGGAACTCTGGAGAAGAGTCATCAGAGGGAACAGTCATTCAAATTCAAATGAATGCTTCAACCTGTGGCAAAGACCTTACTGCATTTGAAGAAAAAAATATTCCCTCCCCACCCAAATTAACTCCAGCTGTCAGATTGTTGCCCTCTTGAGAATTATTCAGTCCAGATAGGAAATATTGCAACACTTCCAAGCTGTGAAATCCTCTTTTTCACCAAGAAAAAGAAACATCTACAGCTGTGTGAAGAGAGCAAAAGACATGAAATAACATATATACTCTATATAAATATATGTTTAAAAGCATAAACATAAAAAGCAGACAAGCTTCATGCTTTAACAGCCAAAAGCCTCTTCATGCTTATATGCATCTGAGCACATTCAGCACTTGGAAAGTGCTAATAAACTTTTCAAGCTAAAAGAAGGAAAATAAATGCTACTCTCTAAATGTTAATTATCCTATCCAATCTGAAGTCCATCCAAACTTTTTGAATAAGGATTCCAGACCTTGGATTCTAGTATGAACTCTGAATACTGCAGGGAAGAAACATGCCCTGAAGCAGCGGGAGTCCAATATACACACAATGTGAAAACACGCTTCTCATCATTTTCACTTCTCATTAATCACTTCAATTTTAGACATGTTTTGGCAGAACCAAAACCACCCTTCAAGTAAAAGGCACGCTGAAGCACAGACATTTGCTCAACTCCATTTTGACTGTGTTGTGCTCCCCTACTCCCCAAGCTTTATTTCATGTTTGGAAAATGTGTTCTTTGCAACCCTTTGTTTCCACCCCTATCAGCTTTCATGGAATCACAGAATGGCCTGGGATGGGAGTGACCTGAAAGCTCATCTTGTTCCAACACCCTTGCCATGAGCAAGGACACTTTTTGCCTGGTTACTCAGGGCCCCATCCAACCTGGCCTTGAACACTGCCACACATAGGGCATCCACAATTTCTCTGTGATCCCTGTTCCATCTCACTACCCTCACTCACAGGAATGAATTTCTTCATCATATCTAACCTAAACCTACTCTTTCTGTTGGAAGCCATTTCCTCCTTGTCTGTCACTACACACTCTTCTAAATAGTCTCTCTCCATGTTTCTTAGGCTAATTCCTAATACTGGAAAGCCACAATTAGATCTTCTTGAAGCATTTTTTTTCCCAGACTGAACATTCCCAATTCTCTCAGCCTTTCCTCTTATGAAAGGTTCCCCATCCCTCTTAATCACTCAGTTCGTCACTTCCATCACTCAGTTATTGTCAGTTAGGCACCTTCGTGCTTATACCAAGGAGGTTTGTCAGAGAAATATTATAACATGCAGCATTTGAGCACACCAGTAACTTGCCTCACTCCTGTTTCACCTACTTCTGCCAGATCCTTACTCTTGGTTCTCTTTAGAATAAAAGCTGTCTCTGTACAGTGCATCTGCTGACACTCCTGCACAATGGACAACCCTGAACAAACACACAAATTTGTGAATGACACAGATTTAGTAGGTAAGACACTCAGGTTTTACCTTCACCTTTTACACCAGAGCTTCTCTTTTAAGTCCTCTCTAAAGGGGTAATCCTGCTGGTTCCTGAGGAAACTGCACTGTAGTTTCAGATGATTCCAGATGCAAAGTTGCAAGTGAGTAAGGATATACAGAGGCAATGGAAAAAACTACTCATTCTCAAGAGCACCTCAGTTAAATAACAGAAAAAAAAAAGCAGTAACACATACCTCTTAGGGTTTTTACTCACTTCTCCTTTAATGGCAATTGTGCATCCTGGACGAACTGCAGTATCAAGTTTCCCAAAATAGGGAACATCCTGAAAGTACACGCCCAGTGAAACTTTTGACTGTGACTTACTTTTTTCACTTTTTTTATACAAGCTGAGCTTTACTATGGAAGGAAGAAATTTTGGCCTACAATTGCAAATCTGCACTTAGAGCTAAAGTTATTCCTACCAGCATATTGCAGGATTCTAATACTACAGTGGAAAATGTACACTGAGATAAATATATCAATGTATTGGGTTTTAATTTAGACTACCACCTTGGGTTCAAAACAAACGTTATTTACAACTATTTCTGCCACCACTAATGGTGGAAGGATGGGAAGAAGGGGAAAGGAAAAAAAAAATAAAAGAATAAAAAGTAAGCATGAAACTCCCTGTAATAGTTTAAATTCATATCACATAATCATTCAGACTTATACTTGACTTCTCATCTCTGGAAGTATCAGTTTTGCTTTAAGGAGTAAGACTCATGCTAAGGTGTGTTGTTGTCCCATGGTTACGTAAGTACTAGAAGTACTTAGGGACACTAAGTGTTCTGTCCTCCTGGCAGCAGCTCATAATGATAGACAGTGCACGTACTTTATTTGTCTTATTTTTTCATTGCATTAGAAATTACTTTTACCAGGGAAAAGGGAGTGGAGAAGCACTTCATATTTTTGCTGAAGTCCACCACTTGCAAATTACAATATTATGTGTTATTTGGTTTTGAAAAAAAGGCTGAAGAAGGCAGGCTGCCCAGTGACAAAGCATCTAAAATTATGGCACTCACTGCAACTTCACCGCTCCACAAACTCTATTTGTTCAACCCCTGGCTTCAACCCCTTTTCAGTTTGAGTGCAGTCCTTGCTCCAGTGTGGATACTGTCCACCAGCACAGGTTTTTGCAAAAAGATGAGCACTCACTCCATCTATACACCACATTAGCTAGGTTCAAGTTCCACCTCTAAGGTGAAATGCTTGTGCACAGGTATCTGTGCACATGTCAGCAAGAGGAAGATATAGCAGACACGTTCCACACATGTGAACAGAATATGACTGCAGAATACTTTTGCTTTGCAGGTATTCCCTAAGGCAAAGAAAATAAAGATTATTTTGCCTATTAGAAAAAAATTCAAATGTGATTTAGTCCTTTAAAACTTCAGATACTTCACTTTTCATTTTTTTGTTTATGGTTGTGGATGCTGTGTTTATCCTTTGGGTTTTCTAAATGATTTAACAATAGTCTCATTTGTACTAGCAGCAGAGAAGAGGATTATCCTCTACAAAACCTCACTGATCATCTTTCTTCAGTCAACTGTCAATTCCTTTCTTCTAGTCTTTTGTGCACGTCTGCTCATGAATAAGTGAAGTATTTTTGATTTTTTTTTATTCTACATTTGCCACAAATCTCCAAGAAACACTTACCAATTGTAAACCATTTGGCATCTCCCCCTACAAGAGAAGAAAAGAACATTATCTAGCTTATCAAACAACAGGGAGATTCATTCAACCTTTTACAAATATACGTACATTTTCTGTGCTTATCTTTGTTACTCCTAGAGATGATGGCTGAGAGCCTTGTAAAGACTGCAGAAAGAGAGATATTTAGGTGTCATTGCTAATGTCATATAACTTTAGCATAAAGTTGGTTTAGAACAATGTAAGGATCATCATGCTTTGAATGGTGAACTGTTAAGATGGAAATCTAAGGCTATGTCAATGAAATGAAATGTAGCCTTTTCTGTAGGCTACAAACTACAGAAAAGTTGAAGATCCACTGCTGAAGCCAAATCAAGGTTTCTGAAGATCACCGCATTACAATTTGAATCTTTATTTAACTTGACAGTCAGAGCACTGTCAAGCCCTCAAGATCTCAAGGTACCCACAGAATTCTCTTCACTGGGGTAGAAATACCAGTATGCCAAGTCCACACAGCAGGGTTCTTGGGATTCTAAGCAGCCCTCTATATCCTTGTCCCTTCTTACAGGAAGGACAGACAAGCAACGTGGTCATGGCAGAGACAGTTCCAGCTTCACCATAGAAGATTGTGGCTTCAGGTTGTTTATTTCAATACAAACCTCCAACTTCTTCCTCAGAAAAGTGTATTAGAAGCAAAGACTAAAGTAAAAGAATAGCCTTTCTCCATTTCTTTCTTCCAAAAAGCATACAGCATCAGCAGCCACAGATTAAACCAAGTATATGTTTTGTGCTTGGGTCAGACAATTTACAGCACCTGCTTGCCCTCAAGCTCTTCTTGGAATCAGCCCTCCAAGATCAGGATGCAGACAGCTTTTGCAGGAATATTATTCTGGCAACATGCCCAAGGTCAAGTAATGGGACTCATGAAAATCTGTTTACCAGCTTTGCAAATGATCTTTACACATAGTAGACCTATGTTTAAAGCTTAGATTTCGTTAGGCTCAGCTTCGCTTCCTACCAAAACAATTATTAGCCTGCCGACCTGAGCTAGACCTCATATTTGGCAGCAAGCGTCAAAAGCTGTGCCCACAATGTACTGAAGATTGCACCGAAGAGACCCAGAGTATTTCACATGAGTAGGTAGGCTACCTTAGTGAGTGGCAGAAAAGGGAAAAGGCATTCACCTTCTGTATCTCCCTGGAATTTACCACCTTCAGTTTCTGTTCTAAAAGCCTAACTCTTCCAGAACAAAAGGATCTCTCCTTCTTCACACAGAAAAACTCCCTGTTAGTTTACAATCAGTAGCAGAGCTGGCAGCTGACAGGAGGCACAGCACACCTTCACTTGGAATTCACTGCAGTTTGGTCCACATGCATGGTCAAGATATTCAAAGAGAGTATCTTTCTCATCCCCATAAATGTACACTTCTAACTTCATTCAACAAATCAGTCAGTTAAGCAGGAAAAACAGGGCTATGTGCACAAGAAGCTCCAGCTGTGGCTGACCTTGGCATTTCAAAGCCAAGCAAGAAGTTACAGCCATGGCTAAACTTGTCACTTAGAAGCACTGAATACTCAAGAGCTCTTTCTGGAGCCTCTACAATATTTGAAAAGCCTAATCCACTCTTAGACTAAGTATCCAATTAATTCTTATACCATGTGTCCTGTTAACTTTGTAAGCTGTAAACTTTTGTCACTTTCTTGCCCCTAACTGTAAGACTAAAACAGGAAGACAGAAATCCTCATGAGAGTCACATGGTAAAATGAGGGGAAACCAAAATCTCCTTACCGACATTGGACTGTGTAGCTACTTCTCCTTCTTCCTTTTCACTGTAAATCCCACTATGCAGTTTAGCAGGACAGAGGAAATGAATCAAACAAGTCAGCTATCTATACAACTTACCTTAGAAATAAACTCTATGCTTTTGATCTGCACTCTGCCATATATTCCAAGAGTATCTATTTTTTCAAGGCTAATTCTGTGGTTGTAGAGCAGCAAGTGTTTTTTATTTACAGTCACCTAGAGACAGGGAAATAAACAGAAAAACTGTATTAAACATATATTAAACCAGCCATGTAGCAAATTGTATGCACACATTTCTGCTTTATACTGGTTTGGTAGAAAACAGAAACAATCTGGAACAAAACACTCCTAGGAGGGTCCTAGAAATATCAGATCACTTAAATTCAACTCATCCATGATTCAGTCTCTCCATCACTATAAGGGAGATCCATTTGCCCACACTAAAATTTGCATTTCACACCTTTGTTTCTACCACCTGATCATTTACCCACGTAGCATTATCAATGTAACAGAATCTATTATTACAGTCTAACAGAGCAAGACAAATACACCTCACATGTCCCCTCCGAGAGGGCTGTCCTACACTAGTCACAGAACAGGTTTATCCCAAGTTAGCCCTGTGCACATACAGAGGGAAGGGTGGAGTAGCCATTAGCTATGGCAGGAATTCCCTTGCCTACTCATCCAATTTGGAGGGAAGCAATACAAAATTAAAGGTCTGACTTAATTAGCACCTCTTTTCTGCAGTTAGACTATACTCAGGTAACAGAGACACCTAGACCTCCAATATTTATTTCAATTGTACAGAATACTTCTACTTTATTGGCCTGACAACAGTTGCAGATAAAGAATCAACCCAGACTCACCTGGAATTTGTCCTTTAAAATCATGATGACAATCTCAAATGACTTTCCTTTTTCAAAAGGCATCTCATAAGTGATCTCCTCCCAGCCCCACTTCTCCCTCTCCAATGTGTTGCAAACAATGCAGCCAGACCTTTTGAAGCGGGGGTTGAAGTGGAATGCCACATCAGCTCGAGGCTTTATGCTGCTGCCACACTGTAAATCCACCTGGAACCTACTCATAAAAATAAGACAAACCACATTCAGCTCAGTCTCACAAGAATTTACCTAAAGGCTCGGTACATTTGTGTTTTACCTTGGAACCTCAAAACAGGCAGACATAATGAATGTCATTGGATAAGAAAAAACCTTCGAACAAATATTTGTCCTCCTCTCTTCCTACATAGCTGTGAAAGGTTCTCCCATGATCTATTGCAGTGAATATAAATGTTTAAATTTATTTAATGGTCATCAGTCATATCGTGTAAACTCCTCACTTACTGTGTTCACCACTTTCCCTCCCATCACCTTCAGCAGAATGTATCAAATGAACCTTGGATAAGGTCAGGGAACAGAATCCCCTTACTGGGCACAAGTACTAGTCCATACCTCCAATAATATCCCAGTTTAATTCCTACACACAACACATTCAGTTATCAATTTTGTTAGTCTCAGATTACCCTTCATGCCTGCATTCAATCTGATGCTATCACAGGGATTTAGATCCCTGTACCATCCAAAGTAGGACTCATGGAAACATTTCATCCATTATAGTCTTGCTCACATGGTGACACTGCAAAACATGACAACATAGCCTCTACCTATCTGCATCATCAGGAACAGTCCCATGTATCACAATCAGCTCTCCAGGAACAAGGCCACCGTGTATGGTCCCAACATATGGAATGATCTAGAAGAGGGAAGAACAAAAAAAGAAGAAAAAATATTCCAATACCATTTTGTGATGGAGGCAAAAAAACCGAAAATAGTTTCAAAATTAGTATTTTAATTGTTAATTATATGATGCTCTACAACACTGAAAGAAACACAACTAGCTTTTAATAAAAAGAAACCACAACAGCAAGGGAAAATTTAGCATATTTTTCCGTGAAAACCAAGATTTTCAGATAAAATTAAAACTAAAATTTCCATCCTCCATTCTTAGCTCTCAAATGAAGAGTTGTACTATTTTATTGCATCACTATTCATAGAGCATTAAGAGGATTCACTTCAAATTAGATTATTCCCAAGGGCTGACAAATATCAGCCCCTTGCTGGTACCAGGAGGCAACTTCCACAACTCCCCTGACCCCAGGAGCTGCCTTTTTCCTTGTTCTTGCTCTGTTAGGGAAAACAATGATAGGAAGAGACTGTGTCACAGTGTGTCTTCTTAGTAAAACCTACACAAACACAAAAAAATACCTCATCCTAATGAGCTAGGAACTGCAAAGTGCACTGAAACAGCCCTGCTCCAGAGTCTTGGATTTTATGGTGTCTACAGTAGGCAGTCTGGCTCAAAGCCTCACTATCTTTTCTTCTTTACCAATAGCTGGAGAAGGTAACGTGTGCCTGCTACACTGCACTGAAATAGCAGCATGGTGAGAGTTGTTAAGCCATAGTGAAGGATATGTCAGAAAGGATAAAAGCTACAAACACCCCGGCACAGCTCATTGGCAAAGACTCAAGACATGCTCACAGAAGCCCCACCCTGATCATCAGCATTTCAGGAAGGGATGGGAAGCACCTTAACATTAAACTGTGGAAGTTCCCAGGGCCTGACCCAAAAGCAGAGCAGTAAGTCACACATCTCATCACATGTGTGATGTGCTTCAGATTGAAAAAGGAAGTAAACTGTATAAAACGTTGCTTTTACTCTGGTTAACTAACAGGAAATTTTGCCAAGGTTGTTTTTGGTAGTTTAAAAGATTTTAGGATACCTTTGAAATGAAACGTCAATTGCAAACAGGAGTTCCAGTAACTTAACAACAAAAATTAAAAACACATTGGAATTACTACTCTTGAATGGAATATTAGACCATAAAACAAATTGAGATTTTTATTTTTAAAATATAGAGATCATTGCATGAAAGAGGCAGATATGAAAAGAGTATGTGTTTGTTGACAAATATTTTTGTTAATCTGTGAAGAAAAAGGAATGACCACAGAAATTGTCTAACTCCAGAGTGCTGATCATTTCTGCCAGTAGATACACATCCTTTTCTGTCCACTCTCCACTTTCCTTCTCAACTACCCACCCACTGCATAAATCCTAATTCAGTCATCTTCTGCATCAGGGGGAAAAAAAAAAGAACTCGCTTCTCAAGCACATTGCCAGGTTAAGCCTCATCATTTTCACTGGCTTTAGCAGGTGCAGTAGAAGAGGACCAAAATGTGATATTAAATGTTAAAAATGCAAGAAAAGTGTAATCCTTTTGCTTACTGGTAGTCATTTGGTTCCTTAAAATACAAGCTGCACACCAGAAGATAGTTTTTATTTTAACAGTAAGACTAATAATAAAAAACAAAAAGTGTATCTTGATTGTTCTAATTTTTACACTCTGATCCTGAGGGGCAGTGGCTCTATTGCAATAAAGCAGTAAGTTACTGGTTCAGTCTCCAAAGACAAACTGAAGAAGCACACACAGGTCAGGGATACTGGGACTTGACCACTTTAGTGAAGCAAAGTTCTATAGTCCTGGTAAGGAACTGTGGCAAAAGCACTTCCTTATATTCAAAAGGATGCATTTATTTAGAAGTAAAGGCGGCCCATCAACTCTTCAGAAGCTCAGATGTGGAACCTACAAGACCATAATAGAGCACTTTCTGGATGCAATACTACAGATTTAGGGACATCACAGAATGTGCCTGTAATTTCCTCATGTCTCAAGATGCTCTTCTACTACTTTTTCCTCATTTATTAAGAATAGTGCTTGTCACATGACATGATCTACCATCATCCTGCCTTTCTTCCAGACCTCCAAAACTTGGCTCTAAAGCCAACTGGTCAATGTCAACTGAGTTTGAGAGGTCTCAAAGATGATGTTCTTCCTAAAAGAAAATGCCAGTTTTCATAAAACAAGATGAGCCTTACAGAGGAAAGGACTGCGATAAAAGCTTTTATCCAGCATGCTGGATATCAGACAGCTGCCCCACCAGATGGGACATGACCTAATTTCTTGTTGGATAGGTGGAGTAAAGGGCATAAAGGAGGAAAGCAGATTTTCTGCATGCTTGAGGACAGTACAGTAATGAAGAAATACATCTCAAAATCAAACCAATCAAAAGCTATGAAGTTTGCTGCTAATGGAACAATGTATTCAAACAATGACATTTTCATAGTCTGCCCTGCTACAGAAGGGCTGAGGTTGGAAGAGACCAGAGAGACCTCTGGTTTCTCTAACAAGATGCCTTGCTCAAAGCAAAGCCAGATAGAGCAGGTTGATCACTGCCTCATCTGGAGACTGCCCCAAAGTCATCGGCACAATCTTTCCCAACTCAGTCTCCATATTCCAATCCCAAATACCCATTCTTTTTCCCACAATAGGCTCTTGACCCCTAAGTTCTAGTTGAATTCTCCTGCTAAGTTTTTTCACCCATCATCCTGAACAGTCCCTTTGCAGCCACCCAATTTTGCTGGACTCTTAGTCTCTCTCTGACACTACTCATTTGTCCCAAACATCTGTGAATCCTTCTCTTCGCATCTCCTCTCCCACCAAGATCTCCATCTACCAACTTTCATCCTCCCTTTCCTTTTGCACTTCAGCCCTTCCACCTTCTAGTTAATCACACAGCTTTCCTTCCTCTTCCAGATGGGTTCTCATGAAGGGGGCTGAAACTATTCCCCCCTCATCCCTAACTCTATTCACTTTGCAATATTGACCATACACTGGGAATAAACAATCACATTCACTGAGAGCCCAAGAGTGTGACAGTGCAAAACTTCAATAGATAAGGAAGTCCTGTGCAGGTCTGTATTACTGTACATTCCCCATAAATACTTGACAAATTTTAATATTTTTAAAGGGGTCTAGCACAGAATGGTAAAAATACTATTTCTGGCAGGTTCAAATGAACTACCTTTCTTAAGGCACAACAGAAAACACAGCTTCAGGTACTCCCTTTAGGGTAAGCCAAAGTCAGGCTGCTGTCACAGACCATGAGAATGCTATTTTTTCAGATAAAGTTTCCAGTCTCTAAGCTAGGCAAACAAAATTCCATCAAATCCAGTCTTTGCAATTGCTGAATCATGTCAGCTCAAGCTTTCCACAGAAAACAGGATTTATTATTAATTGCAATATGAACTACGAAAACAGATTCTAAGTTTAGTTGTTCAGACTGAAGTTACAGGCACCACAAAACATACATTTTATGAAAACTGCCACACACCACCCATGTTTACAGAGAATTAGGACTGAAAACACTCCTTATCATACTTTCACTTTCCACCACATTCTGCAAAAATGCCAGACATCTACATAAGCTGTACATGAAGCAGGATTATCCTCCAAGGTTGACAGAACACCTGTCCTCTTTCGGAAGTCCTGTCCATTTACAGCACAATTTCTAAACACCATCAGCTCTTCATGTCACCTGTGACATTCTCCCTCCAATACCTGAGCAATGCAGAGCTCCCAGTAGCATCCCTCACTGTGCAAAACAGTACTATTGGCATAAAAGAGACAAATCCCATTTCCCAAGAGAGACGCTGTTGACATGACAGAGGAGTTACCGGGTTAATGATTGTCTTCTGTGATGTATCCAAGGGCAGTTCATGTATTTCTTTCTGTGGTGTATCCAAGGTCAGTTTACCCATTTCCTTCTGTAGTGCACCCAAGGATGTCATCTTCCCTCCTCCAGATAAATCTGTCAGTTCTGTGTAGCCACTGCCAGAGTGCATGTCAAGAACTCACTGATCAGGCAACACCAAAGGAGGGATCCCTTCAAAAAAAGGCCAGAAATTTTAATTAAAGAGAAACAAGGTGACACAACATGAAGTGAAACCCTCCAAGGTAAAACTACAAATAAAACAGGAAATGATGCAAATATCTTTCCAGTAAATCTGCTGGAGTTTTGAAATATGAAATTAAAAGGCTTGCTTAAAGCACTGAGAAGCCACACTGGTAAACAGTGTAAGCAGCAGCGTGCTATCCCCAGATTTCCCATGGCAGACAAGCCTTAGTGGGTGACCTTGCCTTTTCCACCTTTATCTTACATAAAGTTAAGAAATACTAGGCAAAGACAAAGAAGAGAAACAGAGGATGTTTTATGTTTCTTCCTCCAACACATACAATCCCTGAACTCCACAAGTAATTACAGGAGTTTGTAAAACTAGAATTAAATGCACAACATTATTAAGAAATAAAGCTTATGAGTATGGTCAGCTACAGTGCAACTTCTTTAGCAAAGTGACCAAAATTCAGGGCCCAATTGTATTATTTCTGGCGTATTCTGGAGAAACAGAGTAGCATGTAAGATGTGTGGTGTTGACAAGCAGGGAAAAAATCAAAGGTGAGGGCTCTAGCCACATTATTGTGTGACAATAGCAAGCAATGTTATGAAGCAGAAAGAAAAAAACAAAAACACACACAACCAGAAAAAACTCCAGAACAACACAAAACCAAAACCCCAAGGTCTGTGGCCTGTTCCACAGGGGTTAATCTTTTGCAATGATTAAACAATCGAGTGGTCCATTTTGCAACATCTGGCTTATCTTGTTGGAGATTTGGACCAGATGGGTATTAACTCGCCCACTTAAGACCAGTATCTAGAATGCAATTCAGAGAACATAAGATGCCAACACTGCACAATTATTTTGCCCTTTGACCTTCTCAAGGGATACTACCATAAATTCACTTTTGCCTGTGCAGGCAAATTTTATTGATTTAATTTTTAAAAGGAGAAAATAAAGACCAAATCGAACAATAATTTAGCCTTGACCGTTGTACAGTCCAACAGCAGACCCCACGAAAATGAAACCTACAACCCAGCAGCCTGCTATCTGAGCTTCCTGTGTGTGCAACAGCAATCTAGATCCTGCCAGGAGAGGATCCTGGCACAGGGTCTTGGCAGAGCAGCTGGCACTATGACAAAGCGATGAGTTAAGGGTTTTCTTGTTTGCCTATTAGTACTTTATTGGCAAGGTCGCAATAAAGAAGGAAAGCTGCAATTCAGGCTTTGTCAAAAGCAGGACATGCCATTGGAAAGCTCTCCTGTATCCTTCTGTCAGAGGAAGCACTACCAAGGTATGTGTTACACCAAATCTGCAACACGGCAAGTTAAGGTTCCCTGACGCTGCTTTGAGAACTGAGATACGCAGGCTGCCCTGTTATCTCACACACTCCAAGGGGCTGGAAGTATCTTCCACAGACAAACAGGAAACCACAGAGAACAATAAGCAGCTATTAGGCTTCCCACTGTGACACAGAGAAAATGTGTCCTTCATGAGTTACCTTCATGAGGGTAACTCCGGCCAGTCCTTACAATTAAAGCGAGATTTTGCACCAGTGCGAACAAGGCTTCTACAAAGAGAATTTCCGAGACGCATTCTGGACATCTGCAAGCAATTAAAATACAAAACACTGGCGGTGTCCCCCGTCCCCCGCTATAACTCCCGAACAGTGGAAGGACACAGAACCAAGCAACCTCGGGCGCTTCAGCTTTACAACGAACCGCAGCAGTCCCGGCTCCCCACAGCCCTGCCAAGAGCAGTCCCTTTTCCCGATACGCACAAGGGCGGGCAAGGGGCGGGTCCGCCGCACTCTCCGCTCCATCTCTTACCTGCAGGAGGCACCGCGGCGATCAGCAGCGCCCGCACACCC